TTGAAAGTATGTATTAATATCTGGCAGTATACATGTGTGACAATAGTCATATGTGTATAATAACAGTAGAAGTATGACTAATGACTAATGATGGCAGCAGCAGCAGGAGGCATCTGGCAGGACCACGGCAGCAGCACAACCACACACGTCACGCTGTCCAGGCACCGCTGCGATATGAGTTAATCTGAGAGACAGTGGAGCACAAAGGCTCCGGAGAAGAAGCCGAGTTAGTGACATCCAGAATGGCCGAGTTAGCAAGATGCAGTAATAGAATACGAGAGAGAGAGAGAGAGAGAGAGAGAGAGAGAGGGAGCCCGGTGTATTATAGGGGGTCCTCCGGCAGACTAGGCCTAAGTCAGCCTAACTAGGGGCTGGTACAGGGCAAGCCTGAGCCAGCCCTAACTATAAGCTTTATCAAAGAGGAAAGTCTTAAGTCTAGTCTTAAATGTGGAGACGGTGTCTGCCTCCCGGACCGTAACAGGAAGATGATTCCACAGGAGAGGAGCCTGATAGCTGAAGGCTCTGGCTCCTGATCTACTTTTGGAGACTTTAGGGACCACGAGTAACCCTGCGTTCTCAGAGCGCAGTGTTCTGGTGGGATAATATGGCACTATGAGCTCACTAAGATATAATATTAATGTGTGTTTAACGTGTGTTTAATGTGTGTTTAATGTGTATTTAATGTGTGTTTAACGTGTGTTTAACGTGTGTTCAATGTGTGTTTAATGTGTGTTTAACGTGTATTTAATGTGTGTTTGTAGCCTGGAAATCCAGACTCAAATCTAGAAAGATTTTGAGTCTGACCCTCACTGATACACCCTTCCTACCCAAGGGGCGGCACTAACTGAGGCATATTAAATGCTGATGCACAGAATTGGATAGCACGATGGCTGCGACACTAAGCAGCCACTAAGCCACCGACGCCCCATGCTTGTTTTTAGGGTAAAACCAAATATGTGCAATGACAGAACAAAAGTTTGCAGGTCATTAACGTGATCCGCCATCTTGCTACTACTGTTTACCTCAGTTATGCCACGCCCTCCGTTGACAACACAGCCTGGACTACAATGGTTCTGATCAAAACTGGTGGAAACACAGGCTGGTTCTCTAGATAGCACCAAGGTTCTAAGAGTCCTGAACGGCACCGGTTCAAGAACCTGGGCTCATGTGACAGGGCTAACTGTTAGCATGACACAGCTAATGTTTCCCAACAGTTATTTAACAGCTGTAACGACAGAGTTGAGTCATTTCGGTGTCGGTATGAGACTAACGTGTCCGAGTCGGATGTTACCTGCTGCTGCAAGGCTTCTAACCGAGCAGTAAAACATGACCAGTCCTGATGACATCACGTTGTGAGGCGTTAACAGCATCACAACCACTTTTGCAATCTGCACTTGCCCCTGCAATTTAATTGCAAACATCGCAATTTTTTCAAAAACCTGCCATGACGTCAGACATTTCAAAAACTGATGACTAAACAATCTCTGCACTAATCCAGACCGTTTGCAACACGTCACGTCACACGTCACATTGACACAGACTCATTTACAAACAGGCTTTCAACAGAGCTACATCCAAACAGGCATCTCAAAGTTCCCGCTTCTTTTCCTTTGTCTTTGTCCTGACCACACGGTCAGACAAACACCTCCCCCGAAAAAAAAACAGCCTTGATTCGGCCATTTTGGTAGTTCTCTGTTGTCAGCCATTTTGTTTTGTAGGCCAAACGGCTCCTTGATCACCACACCCGCCTTTGTCTTTCTCTTCTTTCTCTCTCTCTCTCTCTCACACACACACACACACACACACATATACACACCAAGCTTGTATATAGTTAGTTAGAATGTTAATGTTGCACAAGACTGAATGAATAGTCAACCTCTGCTGCGTCAAGAACTCCGAAATCCTTCAGGCGTTACTGTTAATTTTGGTTGTTGTCATTAATTTAATTATTAATCAAAACTCTAAATTAATAGTTTAGCATATTTTATGAGACTGATATCTTTAACTGGCTATCATTTTTCCCTCTATGGGAATGGTGCCCCACGAGGTGATTTAATGTTAATTAAGTCACATTATTTAACATAATTATTAATTATTAATAATAATTATTAATTATTTTCGATAGCCAATTAAATCCCAACATATTTGGTGCCTCCGTGTGAAGCCTTATGTGTTGACCCCCACATATTTGGTGCCTCCGTGTGAGGTAAATAGCTATATGTTGACCCCAACACTGGACTGTTTGCAGGTAATTCACCTTGTTTCAGCAACCAATGAACCGTCAGCACTCCTATCAGATCAGAAACTTTATTCATCTCATCAAACACTGACAGAAAAACTGAACATAAACAGCAGCAGATTGTTGGAAACATGAAAACAACCCACATTTTTAAATTCATGAGCCGTTACCGTGGCGACCTGAGGGAACCCTCTGTTGTATAGATGTTACAAACTGAGCATGTGCAGTAGAGCACCCCCTGCAGGTCTGAGTTCAGCTCCTTCACCTTTATCGAGTGCTGCAGGAATGAGTCCTAAAGCCCAGAGATGAGTTAGCATATTAGCGTGTCAGCACTTCCTGTTCCCACATCTCACAGTCGGTGTGTTTTTCCGTGGTTAACAAAAGCTGAGGAGACTTTCACACTTATAAATACGTCACTAAGTCCTCACTGTCACACAAGCTTTAAGGGACTGTTCTTTATTTATCAGAGGAGGTGGAGGCTGCAGTGTGACCCTCCCCGAAGCTCCACATATTTTTCCTTGAGCCTCCCTCCAACATAAATCACTTATTAGATTTTTAAAAGTTATACGTAAGATGAAAAAAGCCTCCGTTCATTTTAACTCTATTTTTGGACAAATCTTAAATGAGACGTAGAATAAAGTGATTTTGATGAAATATCAGTATTTTGAGATCAGATTTGTTTTTTGTTTTTTACAGAAGCTTTTGTCTCATGTTGTGTTCAAGGACTGTCCGAAAATGTGAAAATTTGCTTTTACAGTTTCTGACTGTAAACTGTGTCATTTTGGCATTTTTTAAAGAAAACATGTCTTTGGGTTTAGAAGGCATGTTTTCTTTGATGGTAAAATAAATACAAAATACAACCATTTAAATGTGCCCCCGTGAATAATAAACAGTCCCTTATGTGTCTTTTAAAAAACACGGCTGCTAACAGGTGGCCGAAAGAGACTACAGAATGTCACTGAACACGACTTTACGGTCTCGTGGTGGTGGTGACGTTAAGTCATGTGACCGTGCTGTAGTTTGTTTGTAGCCCAACGTTTGGTTTTTACTTCTGTTGACTGAATTTAAGGGTCAAAAATCATAACGTGGTGTTTATGAGTGAAAATGATCTCACTGAACAAAACCAGTCAGGGTTAGAAACGTTTCTGTAATAATCCAGAATCCAACAGAACAATCCCGCTGACTGTTTGACCAGGAAACCAGGACGACGCTGACCTCAGAGTCAACCTACAATAAACGTCACCCCTGCAGCACTCAGTGTGACATCACAGTGACATCACCAAGGGGGAGGAGTCAGAGGGAAGTCAGACTTCCTGACAGGTTGTCGGTTTGTATCCCAGCAGGACTGAATGAGGCAAAGAAACACACAGATACAAATATATATTTAAACTTCAAATAGAAATCTATAGAGACACAGTCGATACTCTTCATAATAGAGAATAAAATTATAAATATAAACTCTGGAATTAAAAACGTCGGTCCTGAAAGCTGATCTCATCTTCTTTTATCTTTTCAGAGCGCTGCTGTCGAAAACTGACCAATCACACCAGAGGAGGCGGTACTTTGGGATGATGTCACCATCTATCTTGTCCACAAAGTGACGAAACTTCATTGAACAAAGTCTGCAAAGTAAAATCCTGAGAGGATCCTGAGGAGGAAATGACGTCACATTTTTAAAAATGTCTTTAAAGGGGGCGGAGCCACAGTGTGATGTCATCGACTATTTCGTGTTTCAAAGCCGTGTGCTGATTACGCATGAGCCCTTACACTCGTAAAAAAAAATACGCCGAAACTTTAATACGACAGGAAGAAGAATTCAACAGAGAAAAAAACCTTTTCTTGGTTTTTATTCTGATTTCTCGCTCTGACCATGAGAAACGCCTCGTTATGATACGAGACCTTTTCTCCTAATCGTCGGAATTTTATCACAAGTTTTCTTTGTAATTATGAGTTTTTATTAGACGCATGAGACACTTAAAGGTAATCATAAGACTTCTTGTTATAAAAAGAAAATGAGACGTCTGTAAGATGTGTCCTAAACATAAGATCATTAATTTATCACAATTATGAGATCTTGTCAGGCAAACTGTTATTATGATGAGACTTTTAAACTAGGGCTGTCAGCATTACCGCGGTAATTGCGATTCTTTTTTTAAAAATCGGGTTATTTGCATGCTGCTATTTTGTCCCTTCGGTGCAGCCTTACTTGTAGTTAAGCTTCCTGCTACAGCAGTTATGTTAGATAAGACACCACTGAGCTTCTGAATGTCAGAAGGTGATCAGCTGATCAGGCTGATGTCAGCGAGTGACCACATCGCCTGAGACAATATAGCGCTATTTAAGAGTGAGACAACCACCACAGACCTGTGGATCAAACTACAACACACACACACTGACTGCAGACTTGGACTTATGTGAGCAGAGGAAAACTCCACTAGCTGTTAGGCTAATTTATACAATGTAAAATGCCATAGGCTTGTGCTAATAACATTAGCATGTTGTATTTGTTTATAAAACGTGTTTAGTATCAGACAGTTGTTTTGTCAGTGAACCTTGTGACTTGTAATGGAGCCAAATTATGTGCCGTTACCTTTGTTACATGTTGCTGTTGTCCCTGGTTTTATATGAGAAGAGGAAATCTCTGCTAGCTGCTAGGCTAATTTATACAATGTAAAATGCCATAGGCTTGTGCTAATAATGTTAGCATGTTGTATTTGTGGGGGAAATGTGTCCAGATAAAGACAAGTGTTTGTCTGTGAATGCTGCGAGTTATAGTGAAGCTGATTTGTGTTTGAAACAGTTGCTGTGAGGTTGCCCTCTAGTGTTTTGGAGGTGTAACTGCAGAGCGACACAGACACACAGGTATATGATGTATTAGGGGACGTCCTCAGGTGGACATGTTGTGACCAGTCATATGTCTTACTGTTGGGGAGACAATAGTTTGACACTTACAGGACCTGTACGAATCAGAGACAGACACTAAACTGGAACTCCTGAAAAGTGATGATGCCATCACATGAACCGGATCATTGGACGTCAGTGAGTCGTCAGAATTATATCAGAGTAACTGCACTTTCTCTACTGGAACAGTTTGATCCTTTCAAACAAACAAACAAACACACAAACAGTGTATCTGACAGAATCAGCTCTGTGAAGTGGTTCATGCTTTCAGACCTCACTGTTGTAGCAGAGCAGCTCTGGTGTGAAAGACAAAAATCTAAAGGTTGAGATCATAAAGTCAATTTCTTTGATTTCATTTGATTCCCAATCAAAACACTCTGGTCAGCATTATTTCACCTCGTTAATATGGACTTCAAACTGTTACCAAATGCAAAATATTGGAATTTTAAACATGGGATTACAAATGTGATTAATCGAGATTAACGACTGAAACTCAGCCATCAATGGCAATTTAATAAATTAATTATTTGACAGCCCTACTTTAAACGTATTATTGGACATTTCTCAGTGTTTTAAGATGTTTACTCAAAATTATGAGACCTCTGTTTTGTCTTTAGTGAATGTGTTGTGCCTCTGTGTGTACATACAAGACTTCTTCATTTGATTGATTAACATTGATTTCGTTGCTTGTTGTTTGGGTGTTGACGGGAACTCAGAGCCTCGCCGCCTGCAACATGTTTGTAGAGATGTTGGACACACGGGAACATCCTGTCTCTGAATTATTACTGTTGGAGGGTTAGAATTTAGATATAAATTGTCTGTGATGTGTTTTTAGTGTGTTTTAAGGTCTCAGCTAATCAGATGGCAGCAGCCGTGTTTACGGAGAGACTTCACAAATTTATTTTTTAATTTTATTTTTGTAAACGAAATAAAACGACTTTTTGTTAATTTCTTCATTTTGTGGCTAACGAAGCCACCGAGGACACCTGAGTCCTATTTCAGGCCCACCTGTCTGGTCTGAACACATGCGTACCAGCTGTGTCTCTTAGGCCTCAACCTCTCAGAATCCTGTGCACAATGGTCCTGGTTTTGGTGAGTCCAGTCTCAGTAGAGTTCACCTGCATTAAGCCCCGCCCTCCAAACAGACTGAGCCTGAAATGGAGCTCAGGTGTTCACAGGTGACTCAACAAACTTTTGTGCTTGTGTTTGTCTCGTTTGCTTCTGTGTGATGAACGTCCAGCATGACGTCACGTGACTGATGCCTACCTGCCGACAGGAACACCTGAGATTAGAGGTGTGACATCAGAAATTTAAATGTCATTGGATGGAAAATGAAGCCCCTCCCACAGAACAGAGGATTCCTCAGCATGTGATTGACTCCTGTCCTTGGCGACATGTGACGGACTCCTGTCCTCGGCGACATGTGACGGACTCCTGTCCTCAGCGACATGTGACGGACTCCTGCCCTCGGCGACATGTGACTGACTCCTGTCCTCGGCGACATGTGACGGACTCCTGTCCTCGGCGACATGTGACGGACTCCTGTCCTCGGCGACATGTGACGGACTCCTGCCCTCGGCGACATGTGACTGACTCCTGTCCTCGGCGACATGTGACGGACTCCTGTCCTCGGCGACATGTGACGGACTCCTGTCCTCGGCGACATGTGACGGACTCCTGTCCTCGGCGACATGTGACGGACTCCTGTCCTCAGCGACATGTGACGGACTCCTGCCCTCGGCGACATGTGACTGACTCCTGTCCTCGGCGACATGTGACGGACTCCTGTCCTCGGCGACATGTGACGGACTCCTGTCCTCGGCGACATGTGACGGACTCCTGTCCTCGGCGACATGTGACGGACTCCTGTCCTCAGCGACATGTGACTGACTCCTGTCCTCGGCGACATGTGACGGACTCCTGTCCTCGGCGACATGTGACTGACTCCTGTCCTCGGCGACATGTGACGGACTCCTGTCCTCGGCGACATGTGACTGACTCCTGTCCTCGGCGACATGTGACGGACTCCTGTCCTCGGCGACATGTGACTGACTCCTGTCCTCGGCGACATGTGACGGACTCCTGTCCTCGGCGACATGTGACTGACTCCTGTCCTCGGCGACATGTGACGGACTCCTGTCCTCGGCGACATGTGACGGACTCCTGTCCTCGGCAACATGTGACAGACTCCTGTCCTCAGCAGCTTGTGATTGGCTGCTGTCTGCAGCAGCCTGTGATTGGCTCCTGTCCTCGGCGTGTTTGAACATCAGGATGGAGTTGTAGATTTTGAGGGCAGGGCCAAGTTTGATTGACATGATCCTGACGATGTCCCGCTGGGTGAGTAGGAGAAAGGCCCGCCCATCGATTTGCTAGACAGACAAAAGCAGGAACCAATCAGATCACAGCAGAGTCAATCTGATATGATCTAATCTACAGCAGCTGATTGGTTGTCTCACCTCGTCTCTGAACTGTTTGGCGTGTTCCTCACAGCCGGGAATGGACTCAATGAAGTCTGACACCTGCAGAGAGACAGACAGGTCAAACACACACCTGTCTCTCTCTATCTAGGTTTTCTCTCTTTCTGTGACCTGTCGTTCTGACCTGCTGGACGCTCCAGTGTTGGACAGTCTCAGCCTGGACTCCAGCCACACCTGGCAGCAGTTTGCGGTGTTGCTCCCAGCAAAGCGACAGGTCGCGGCCAGGCTGCGCCGACATGGCTGACAGGAAGACAGACTGGTGGAGGGCAGCCTGCAGACTGGACTCTGCTGCTGGAGAGACAGACAGTTTCTGAAAAACACTAATATTACCTTAGTAACCACACAGCAACACCTTCATGATCTGACACCTGAGTGACACCTAACAACACCTTAGTAACACCTCACAACACCTTAGTAACCACATGACAACACCTTCATGATCTGACACCTGAGTGACACCTAACAACACCTTAGTAACACCTCACAACACCTTAATAACCACATGACAACACCTTCATGGTCTGACACCTTAGTAACATCTAACAACACCTTAGTAACCACACAGCAACACCTTCATGGTCTGACACCTGAGTGACACCTAACAACACCTTAGTAACACCTAACAACACCTTAGTAACACCTAACAACACCTCAGTAACACCTAACAACAGATTAGTAACACCTAACAACACCTCAGTAACACCTAACAACACATTAGTAACACCTAACAACACCTTAGTAACACCTAACAACACATTAGTAACACCCAACAACACATTAGTAACACCTAACAACACCTTAGTAACACCCAACAACACCTTAGTAACACCTAACAACACCTCAGTAACACTTAACAACACCTTAGTAACACCTAACAACACCTTAGTAACACCTAACAACACCTCAGTAACACCTAACAACAGATTAGTAACACCTAACAACACCTCAGTAACACCTAACAACACATTAGTAACACCTAACAACACCTTAGTAACACCTAACAACACATTAGTAACACCCAACAACACATTAGTAACACCTAACAACACATTAGTAACACCCAACAACACCTTAGTAACACCTAACAACACCTCAGTAACACTTAACAACACCTTAGTAACACCTAACAACACCTCAGTGATATGATGCATATTTAACACCGTGTTAGTCGTGCGAGTTCAAATGCTAATATATTTGTTTGTTGATTTGTTTCATACGTGCAAATAACCACATGATCATTGCTGTCATTAATTTGGTTACAATTGATATTCGGGGGAATGGCAGTGAGAACAGTCACAGTAAGGTGAACATATTTTGGAAGATAACACAGCTGTATCATGTACAATCACCTTGTATGGCTGATCTGCTGCTTTTGTGGTTACACACACAAAACGTGAATCTGTGTGTGTCTGTGAATGTTCCGTACATGATATGTTAAATTTGGACTTTTTCAGATGTTCTCTTAACTGCACTCCGAACAGGGATTAAGGTGTGAATGTGTCTGTGAGTGTATGTGGGCGAGGCTTTACCAAGGGTCACCTGTGAACAGCACCTTTTACACATTGAGTGAAAAGACCCCTCCCACTGCCAAGTTTATCTCAAAACAACAGCACATTAGCCAGACATTTAATTGTCCGGTTTAAAACTTGTTTGCTTGCTGCTGAAAATGTCTGGCCCATCAACATCTTCTGCTTTTAAAATCCAGCCATATTTAATTTGTAATTGAACAGCCCAGATGTGAAGGAGAGGACTACATCTAACATGGCTGCCAAAATGAAGGGTGACGAGGACCAGCAGAAACCCCTTCGACCCTGAGCAGTGACAGAGGCATCATGTGATCCGTGACTGAGCTGAGAGCCTGCAGTCCTTCAGAGGGTAAAACACACCCAACACAGTAGTTACCATGGTGAGCTGTATCCATGGAAACAGCCACTTCATCTGCCTGCTGTTTCCATGGAAACACAATGAGGAGAGAGACAGAGTGAAGGAGGGAGGGAAGGGTTGGAGAAAGGAGGGAAGTTGTGGATGATAGTCCAACAGTGTTTTTATCGAAGTGACCCTTAACACCTGTACCTGACTGTGACCTCATCATCATCCAACACACCTGTACCTGACAGTGACCTCATCATCATCATCCAACACACCTGTACCTGACAGTGACCTCATCATCATCCAACACACTGTGAATCTGAAGGTGTACTCTACCTGGGCCGAGGGCTCGGATGTGAAGCTCCTCCTCTTCTTGTTTCACACGCAGGAATTTGGTTGGTTGGGACAGCCTGGGGGTGGAGCCAAGAGACAGAGTTTAGACTGTAAGCTTGTTTGTGAGCATGTTTATGGATGTAAAATGATTTCCTGTAACTGCTGCAGTTAATGTTTAAAGGATCCTAATCTCCATGATCTGTGTCCCTGCAGCAGCTGCACCTGCTCACAAACTACAATCACTAACTTCCTGTTTTGACATCACCTGTATTCACCTGTCCCTTTTACCTCACACAGAATCTGGGCGTCACCTGTCTCCCTCACCAGGTGAGATGTCCTCTGTCACTACTAACACCAAACAACTCTGATTCTGTTGTTGTTTGAGCAGAAAATTTTATTTTGAAGTCATTTGCACATCACAACATCCTGCAGTTTAGACGCTGACAGGAAGTGAGACATTCACAACTTTATTGAAGTGTCCAAGACGTCTGGCTCCTATTGATAAAGCTGACTGAACATAAGTGTGTGTATGTGTGTGTGTCTTTGTGTGTTATATAAGACAGGTTTATATAATAGACACACATAATCTACTCACAACACACCCACACACACACTTCTCATGATCCTGTCGTCTATTCTGAGGACAAGTGCAGGAGAGACAGACAGGTCTGATTATGAAGTCACTCTGAAGAACATCATGTTTGATGATTCTTCCAGGAAGAACGAGCCAATCAGGGAGCTCCTTCATCATCACCCACACAGACACTCAGCAGGTATTCAGACATAAAAACTGTCTGTGTGTGTGTGTGTGTGTGTGTGTGTCTGTCTGTCTGCCTGTCTGTCTCACCTGTCTGTCAGTCTTCTTCTCTTCCCCAGAGGAAGCAGCAGAGTCTCGTCCTTGGGCTCAGTTTTGACCTGAACACTTCTCCTGTTCATCAGAGAGACAGACAGGTAGAGAGGGACAGACAGGTGGAGACATACAGTTGGGGGTAGACAGGTAAAGAGACAGACATGTCGAGAGACAGACAGGTGCAGAGACAGACGGGTAGAGACAGACAGGTGGAGAGACAAACAGGTAGAGAGACAGACAGGTGGGGACAGACAGGTAGAGAAAAAGACAGGTACAGAGACAGACAGATAGAGAGACAAACAGGTAGACAGACAGGCAGAGAGACAGACAGGTGGGGACAGACAAGTAGAGAGAAAGACAGGTACAGAAACAGACAAACTGAACCATTCACTTTAATACAAACATGGTGTTTTAAGGAAACATACTCCACGGACTGTGGTTACCTGTCCGATTGGTTGCCATGGTGATAAATGGTGACAGGTACGAGGGTGACGACTTTCTCTCCTCCCAGCCTATCAGGAAGCACCACCTCTTTACGCATATTAATGTCTGAGTACGGACAGCCGAAGGCACTGGGCAAGACACGGCAGAAACATGAGTCAGCAGGCAGAGACATGACTCGGCAAACAGACACATTACTCAGCAGACAGAGACATGACTCGGCAAACAGAGACCTGATTCAGCAGACACAGGAATGACTCAGCAGACACAGACATCAATCAGCAGACAGATATACAGAGACATGACTCAGCAGACAAACACATGACTCGGCATACAGAGACATGACTTGGCAGGTGTATGTACCTGTGGTGTCCGGTGTATTTGGCTCCTTTGATGTGTCCGACCCCTCTGCAGCCTGGAGTGGGACAGACACCCTGAGAGGGGTGGGACAGGGGGGAGGAACCTGTCTCACACACACAGAGGAAACACTGTCAGAATTATAAAGCCTGTCTGTCTCACTGTCTCTGACCTGTCTCACCTGGTGGGGGCTCTAGCAAGTGTCCTGTGCGTTGACACCAGCCGACAGGGTGAAGGTCACAGAGGTCGCTGTCACACCAGACGTCAAACTGCTGCGACCAGCCGTCATAATGAACCTGCAGGTAATCACACCTGGTGACATCATCACACAATTCATAACATCACACACGTAGACAGACAGGTAGAAAGTCAGGTCAAAGGTACCTTCACTCTGTAGTCTTCTGTATCTGTTACCGTGGCGACTCGGATTAACATGGGGTTCCTCCGGTCAACCGCCTCCAGTTTCTGATTGACTTGGAAATTGTGTGGAGCTCTCTGATTGGACAAAAAGACACCTGTCAGTCATCATATGCAGTGCACTGATCGACAGCTTTACTAACTCCTTGTTTCCTTTGCTACCTCTTTGTTTCCTCACCAGTGTGAAAACTGAACTGGGAGCGGCTGTGGAACCAGTTTCCTGTAAGTATTCCTGCCACACGAAATTCTCTGGGTTGGGGTGACCTGAAAAACAAAAGTACTGAGTACTCAGAGTACTACAGAGTAAATACTGAGTGTATCTGTGTGTGTACCTTGTGGAGCAGTCAGAGGTCGTCCATGTTGTTCACACCAGCCCACAGGATGGATGTACGGACTGCTGCTGTCACACCTGATCAATCAATACCATCAAAAGTCATCAATAAGCTTCAGTCTACTGCTAGTGCTACTACTGTTACTGCTGCTACTGCTACTGCTGCTACTACTGCTACTGTTACTACTGCTACTACTGCTACTGTTACTACTACTGCTACTGCTACTACTACTACTACTGCTACTGCTACTACTACTGCTACTGTTACTACTACTGCTACTGTTACTACTGCTGCTACTGCTACTACTACTGCTACTGTTACTACTGCTGCTACTGTTACTACTGTTACTACTGCTTCTGCTGCTACTACTACTGCTGCTACTGCTATTGCTGCTACTACTACTGCTGCTACTGTTACTACTGCTGCTACTGCTACTACTACTGCTACTGTTACTACTGCTGCTACTGCTACTGCTACTGTTACTACTGCTGCTACTGCTGCTACTGTTACTACTGCTGCTACTGCTACTACTACTGCTACTGTTACTACTGCTGCTACTGTTACTACTGTTACTACTGCTTCTGCTGCTACTACTACTGCTGCTACTGTTACTACTGCTGCTACTGCTACTACTACTGCTACTGTTACTACTGCTGCTACTATTACTACTGCTACTGTTATTACTGCTACTGCTGCTACTGCTACTACTACTGATACTGTTACTACTGCTGCTACTGATACTGTTACTACTGCTGCTACTGCTGCTTCTGCTGCTACTGCTACTGTTACTACTGCTTCTGCTGCTACTGCTACTGCTGCTACTGTTACTACTGCTTCTGCTGCTACTGATACTGTTACTACTGCTGCTTCTGCTTCTGCTGCTAGTACTATTGCTGCTACTGCTACTGTTACTACTGCTTCTGCTGCTACTGTTACTGCTGCTACTGCTACTGTTACTACTGCTTCTGCTGCTACTGTTACTACTGCTTCTGCTGCTACTACTACTGCTGCCACTGTTACTACTGCTTCTGCCGCTACTTCTACTGCTGCTACTGCTGCTACTGCTACTGCTACTACTGCTACTACTGCTTCTGCTGCTACTGCTGCTACTCTTACTACTGCTTCTGCTGCTACTGCTGCTGCTACTGCTACTACTGCTTCTGCTGCTACTGCTGCTACTGATACTGTTACTACTACTGCTGCTACTGTTACTGTTACTACTGCTGCTACTGCTGCTACTACTGCTACTGCTATTACTGCTACTACTGCTACCGCTACTATTGTTACTACTGCTGCTACTGCTATTACTGCTACTACTGCTACTACTTCTGCTATTACTGCTACTACTGCTGCTGCTACCGCTACCGCTACTACTGTTATTACTGCTGCTACTGCTACTACTGCTGCTACTACTACTAGTGCTACTACTGCTACTGCTACTATTGCTACTGTTACTGCTGCTACGGTTACTGCTACTGTTACTACTGCTGCTACTGCTACTACTGCTGCTGCTACTACTGCTACTACCGCTCCTGCTACTACTGCTACTGCTGCTACTGCTACTGCTACTACTGCTGCTGCTGCTGCTACTACTGCTACTGCTACTACTGTTGCTGCCACTACTGCTACTGTTACTGCTACTACTGCTACTGCTACTACTGCTACTGCTACTGCTGCTCGCTATCTCACCAGTAGTCGTATGTGTCGTCCCAGTTGTCGAAGTGAACCAGGATGTGGTCCTCGATGACATCAGCGATGGAGGCAACGCAAACGAGCCCGGGGTTCTTTCTGTCGACCGCCTCCAACTTCATCCCCACACTGAACCCACAGC